TTTTGAGACCTGTAGCAGGCATCAAATTTGAAATGAGCTCATTTTGTGCATAAACTTGTAAAATTTCTCTGTTTAAACATTTGTTATGTTCTCTATGTTCTATTGTGAATAAAATATTGGCTCATGTGATTTGAAATTCTTTTAGTTTTCATTTTATTCAAATAAAAAAAAAAGTCCCAACATTTCTGGAATTAGGCTTGTATAATATATTTATATTTAATATATTCTAGAAAATATTGTGGGTCATGAATTGTACAATAAATGTTTTGTACAACAAAACATAAATTGTAAAACATGAACTGTAAAATACTTTACTCCGTTCAAAGAAACAGAAACAGCAGCAGCCAGATTGTCCCACACATGTTCTCCTGCTCTTGCTTCAAGGTTGTGGGGTTCAGGGGGGCATCATCATGGTCTTTCTCATCCTCTGGCTCAACGATGTCCCCATTCTCATCTCTTAGGCCTTGAAGAAAATGGTCACGGTGGTCAACTGCAGAACTGGCACAGCTGTGTTGAGATGGCAGTAGTATGTGGCGTGTTTGAATGATACATTTGAATAAAGCTTTGTTTCATGTGTTGTTCACTTGTAATGTATTTATTTATTGTAATGGTTAAATGAATTTACTCATTTGTATTCATGTTTCCGATTTGTCAGTATATAAAATATAATTATTACATTAATTCACTGACTGAAAATTGATGAATTCACACCGACTGCATTTGCATAGCCATATATAATTCAAATAAATTTTGCTTGTTTTACTAAAATATTTAGATGTCATTAATTAAGTTTAGTCATATAATTAAATATTGGACAGTATTTATCATAATTATTGTGCGTAAGTGTTGGGGTGGGATAGCAATGCAATACTCCTTTGCACAAACATTGCAAACGCTGAGGAAAACCGTACCAAGTAGGGTTGTCGAGTTACTGATGCTATGAGGTGTTTTTTTTTTTACTTTAATTGCAGGACTTATAATTACATACAAGATCAAGGAAAGATTCCATGGTTGTATCTTTAATAATGAACAATCATAATGACAAAAAAAAAATATATCATGGGTTTGCGTACATCATAGCATGAGATTTTATACACAGAAAAAAGCACAATGACAAGGTTAAATATCTTTGAATAATTAATCACAATGCAGCATTTATTTATTTATTGTTTGTTTGTTTATAAGCCTGAGGGATGAAACGAGTTTAATTCAACAACAAAAACAGAAAGGAGATTTAAGGCACTTTCGCTTGTTAATGATACAATTTGAACAAAATAAATTACATATCCAAGAGATGATGATTTTGGGTTTATTTGGGGAAAAAATATCTTTAAGGATAAAACTGTGGGTCACATTAGTAGGGTTAAAAATATAAGAACGTCAATCAACCCAAAATGTATTGGTTATACTACAATCAAAAAAATATACGGGCAGTTGTTTAAAGGCACAATATGCAAGTTTTCGCTGCTAGAGGTTGCATTTTCAAAACAATAACAAATTCAAAGCTTGATGACGCTATGAAGGAGAGTGGAACAATAGGAGATGCATGGAATTCACAAATCATGTTCACGGATGAGGTAATAAACTCATTTGTTTTATTACCTGTACCTTCCACAGTTTTTCAAACAGTGAATAAATTATACACAGAAAGTGAGCAAGGAACATTACATTGTCAAAGAACAGTATGACAGATTTCAGTCTAGCGCGAGTTTAAAGGGGTCATATGATGCGATTTCAAGTTGTCCTTTCTCTTTGGAGTGGTACAGTATTTGAAAAATAATGTGTTTTTTGAACATTAAAGCATGTCAACATATTCTGTTACACCAAATACACAAAATAATGATCTTTGAAAAAAGCATCATATGACCCCTTTAAGCACTCTCAAAAAACTCCCCTTGTAATCAATAAAGTTGTCTATACACCGTTTGATGTATGAATTTCTTACATCATACGAACATTTGACCTTTGTTGTTTATGATGAGAGAATTCACGAGAGAGCAGAATTCAGTCAGCTAGCACGTGCAATTAACCAAAAACATGACTCATCTGAACGGCTCTGATTGACAGTTGCATTAATAAGCTCAACAGACTCGTGTGTGTGATTGGTTATAATGTGCAACATTGTAAAAACGCATAAAAAGAATCATGGTGCAACATTGAAATGAGAAGTGTTGACTGCAGCATTAAATTTAGATCTGCTCATTTTCATGTTATTCGCGACAACCGTAATGGGTTTAGTTTAACTGTACAGCAGCGTTTTTGTCCATGTGTGTTGCCATAGTTTGTACAAGCGGAAACCGAGAATAGTGCGGATATTATGTCATTGATGGGCGACAATGACCAGGGACCAGGCATTATTTAAAATTGGAATTTCTCTGGATTCTCTGGATTTACAAATCCTTGGTAACTTTTGGGATAACGTAAGTATAAAACTGCTTGAAATATATCACACTGTGCAAGTGGTTTTTGGATATTTTATTATTAAAATCTTACATATTGTGCCTTTGATCAACAAGACCACAAAATAAGCAAGTTTCATCAATATCAAGATATTAACAGATAGATTAATTAAACCTGTCGCTCATATCTTTGAAGTTGTTGCGCTTGTTATTACGTCATATGATAACATCAACATGGCAGATGATGTACGGATCGCATTCATACTTAAAAGTCCCCCTGTAGTGAAAATCAAGTTTTTTATGTTGTTTATTTGTCTATGTGGTGTTTTTAATGTGCCACACGTTGGCCACACATGGCCAATCCATTAATCAACACCATTGCTGAGTATTTTCTCCTTAAAACTGTAGTTTCCCAAAGGCTGACCCAGAAACGCGGTTTGAAACAACCCTCGGTTTGCTACGTAACAAAATTCAACAACCAATCACGTCAAGGGATAGATTCCTATCGCTAGCATGCAAAATATACCAATACCAGCACAAAACCAAAAATAAATTAGAGCAAAAAAAACCCCATGAAGCCGTGGTTTAATGTTAATTTAGAACCGCTAACTTGCATTATAACCCGTGGCAACAGTGTAAAAGTAGCCTGGAGTCAGACCCACCTCTGCACCTAACACGCGTTGCTCGTGAGTGCGAATTGGAATCACAAACGGCTGCATTCAGTCTTCTAGGCATTTTAGGACACAACATCAAGTAAAGCCCTATTTGGACGGGACTAGTTTTTTAAACTACGTTTGAGTTTCGATTCTAATCACCTGACGTTATTGTGTAATTCTATTATATATTATGCTATTTACTCAATATGGTATTCTTACTCTTAATCTTTTACGCATTCAGGCTATAGAGTACGTACTCTTTTAGGGTCGCCGTGATTTTGCCAAGTAAGACATGTTCCTGGATCTTTTAGCACTCGTTAAGTAAATACTTATTTAACTTAAGTACCTACTCAGAGAGTATGCGAATGCAGCCAAAGAGTCATAAACTTTCCTTCTGATAGTTTAAAGGGGTCATATGATGCTGCTAAAAAGAACATTATTTTGTGTATTTGGTG